CCCCCCCCCCCCCCCCCTCCACTTCTCTGCGAAAGGGATATCCACCGTAAAGTGTAAAAAAAGCCGACGTTTCGAGCGGAGGAACTGTGGGTTGTGCGTGGGTTTATATGCAGAAAGTGGCGCTACGCCATTGGTGGGAATGTGGAGACGAGAAAACAGGAATAAATTAGTTGAATGAAAAGCGTTCGTTTTTCCGTGGGGGTTAAGGGTGTTGATTTGGAAGATAAATTTTTGCTCTAGTGTTTTGCGGCTTTCCGAACTGCCTAGATGTAAGGAAAGGCCGCAGACTGCCATATGCTGTTTAGAATGATTAGGGAGATGAAAGTGTCTAGCAACTGGTTTGAATGCGTCCTTGTCATTTCTTTCCACGTCGTGAAGGTGTTCTCGGAATCGGTCACCTAGTCGTCTTCCTGTTTCGCAGATGTATAACTTATTGCAATAAGTGCAAGTTATGCAGTAAATAACATTGGCGGAGGTACACGTAAACTGTGATCAGTGATCTTAATGGATCTCTTGGGTCTCGATATTTTCTCCACGTTATGAATGAAAGAACATGTTTTGCAACGTGAGTAAGCGCATTTGAAAGTTCCAGATTGGTCATTGGTTTGAAATGAACTCCTGACTAAAAAGTTGCCTATGTTTTTGTCACGTTTGAATGAAATAAGTGGGGGTTGCGAAAAGATGGTGCCAGTCTCTGAATCGTTTTGGAGTAATTTAAAATTTTTAAGAATGATAGATTTAACTGCGTGGCTGTGAGGGTGAAATGTCAGAGTAAATGGAATGTGGCTAGTGTTTTCCTTCTCAGCCGTTTGTAGTGCTGACTGTCGATCAATTTGTCGGGTACGGTGGTGGCCCGCTTGAAGGACAGAAACAGGATAGCCACATTTATCGAAAAACTGGCACATTGCCTCTGATTTTTCGGAAAAATCAGAGTCGTCACTACATATACGACGAAGTCTGAGAAACTGTGAAAAAGGTATGGAGTTCTTGACGTGTGATAGATGTGAAGATGAATACAACAAGTAACTGTGAATCTGTAAGTTTGTAGTAAACACTAGTGCATAAACCGTTGCCTTCAATTGAAATTTTGATGTCTAGAAGAGCCAAAGAGGTGTCGGAAATTTCCCAGGTATATATACGAGCCGGATGAAAGGAATTGACGGCGGTTATAAATTGAGTGAGCTCCTCTCTGGTAAAGGAGGTCAAATCTTAGATTTGTAGAACGAGGAAGGCTGGGGCGAGAAAGAAATTTGTACCAAGGGGATGGAGCTTGGGGATAGCAGAGGACGGTCACCGGTAGTTTAAGTTTGGTGCCCAGTTTTTCCGTACCCAGTCAGTTGAGTGGTTTCGTACCTCGCTCGGTCGTTTTGTAACCAAACTTATTAAGCATGTTTTCCATGTTAAGTATGTTTAAACTAAGATCGGTTTCCTAATGTCAATAGCAGCAATGTTACCTGCGTTAAACAGGTTTTGTGAACAAGATGTATTAAAAGCACGCCCAGCGAGCATAGGTCTTGGAACCGAAAATGCAGGGTCGAAGAGTCTTAAGACAGACCCAAATAATATTTCCACCAGAAACATTTATATTTTTATTCCATCCTAAGTAAGCCTACATTACAACATAGCAACCTATATTATTTCAACCTTATATTTTTAATACGTAAACGTTTTAAAAGTAGTAAAACAGGATTAAATTACATTCTTCTGATTTCTATCATAATGAAGGCCTGCAAATATACTATAATCACAACATGTCGCAATAACGCGCAGTTCACTCCATCACGAGTCTGTTGATGTTTGCAAATCCTTTCATTAATTGTTTCAGCGAAGTCTGCTTGTTGTCAAATGCTTCCCATAAGGCAAAGAGTCGGCTCTGCAGTTGACTACCAGTTGATCTCTGTATCCCCTAATCAACTTGCTTGGTTAATACATAAGTAATGGATCCTGGTTAATACTATGTTGTTAATTTTACTTTGTTAGAATATGCGAATTACTTACCGTTATCAACAGTGGGAGAGAAATATTAAACTTACACGAACTGATATTGTTAAAAAGTCACAAGAGACTATTCTTGAGGACTAATGGTAACTTGGGTACGAATCGACTGTAACTAGGCACGAAACAACTAGGCAGGAGACGACCGTGGGTACGAAACGACCGGATATCTAGAAGACAAGGATGAGAGTTCGGTGGCGGTCGTACCCCCCTCTTCATCCACCCCTGTGAAAGGCAACCATTAAGAGAGGGCGTTTTGCCCCAAAAGAGCATTGACACGTGTTCCGGGCCCTATGTTGGTGAACATGTGCAAGAGGAGTGGGTGGGCGAAAAGGATTGCTAACGAGGAAATTACTTCGGAAAGAGGGCCCTGTTTTTCTTTGCCTGACGCCGGTTTTCACTCTTTTACGTGGCTCAGGGTGGAGTAACGCAGACTCGTCCTCACTATATTAGACGGTAACTGGTGAATTCGTCCCCTTGCAAGTTTGCCTCAATCACCTTTGCGAGTTCGCTCCCAAACGTAAAAGGAGTTCGCCCCCCACCTTAACCAGTTCGCCCCCAAATCATTCAACTTGATTTCTATTTCTTTAGTCGCCATGAAGCGTCAGGGCCATTACGGCACGAGTGCGAGTATTCAATTACGAAACAATTTTTTCATCAATATGGTTAAAAATAGAACTTGTAGCTAAATACAGTCAAGTGACTTGCCTTCTGAATGTCTAAATTGATAGAAACCTACAACAAAAGTGTCTGCAAGAATGTTTTCTTACAATGCTGTTGACTATTCAGATGGGTGAGATCTCCGCCCAGCCCAATACTTGATTATGCATACAGTTCTTTTAAAACATCTTGGATAAAGAACACAATGGTGAAAACAATAGATCGCCTTCGGGACTAATGTTCACAATCTGATACTTCGTTCACAATAGTATCGGGTTGTGCGGAAATCTTGCCCTCTGTTTTGAAATTATGACTTTATTTACACCAGAGTGCCTTCATTTCCTCAGTTTTCTAAGGGCTGAGGGCATGACCAGCAGGAAACGCCCACATTACACCCTTCGATAAAAAGGATGGCACATACAATTTCTTTACTTAATGGTCAAATTTGGCTGGTAATAATAAATCACCTATGAGAATTGTGGGAGAATTGCATTGAATAGTTTTCTTTTCATTATCATTATTTATATTTTTTGTTATACCTGCATCGTTTATTCACCAAAACTGCACGATTTCATTGATGTCATCATTACATTTCTAAGGGGCACATTTTAAAAAATATATATGTGTGATTCGAATTTAACATTAAGGTGTACAGAACTTCGACGGGAATAAAAACTGAGGCATCATGAAAATCACGTACCAATGAACTCTTAAAACTTTTTTCATTGACTGGTGTTAAGAAGGAGATTTATATCCGGGTGGATCCAAAGAGAAGGTGTTCCGTTTGATTATTGGCGGGAAAATCTGATTCTGGCATAATGTGAAGTGAAGGGAAATAATTTTGTGTCAATCTAATGATACTTTTTAATATTCCAAACGAAGAAAAATTGATTGAAACTTGACATTTCTTTGGTTTAAATACTTCAAGACCTGTAAGAGTTTTGTTTTTCTATCACAGAACTAAAAAAAACATTACCATGTACACTCGTTATCTGCTGATTTTGAGGTTGAGTTTTAAGAATGCCTTAAGTAAGGGTGACAATTCAGAGGCTGATTGGTGGAAAGGCAAGTAGAGCTGATTCAAGATTAAATGTTCAAATCACTTTGATTCTCTTCGCATAAAGTACTTGTTAGAGCCAACATCTTGTTATATTTAAATTTTTGTTAGGTTTTATTTCAGCAATCTGGATGAAAGCAAATATAAACTGCAAAAAGCATGCAAACAACCTAGCAATTCAACATTTGACCACCAAAATTTCCCCAAACCTTAAAGGTGTTAATGGGAGGCAACAACTTTCTGTTCTGGTTTACACTACATGACGGGTGATTTGGATCAATTTTTCTCATAGAGCAATCAGCATTCATTAATGTGATGTGTGATGTGTTTGCCAATAGCGATTGAGTTCAGTTGTGAAACCCCACCCAAATTAACTCATCATAATTACACTCGACGGGATCTTGGGATCTTATCTCCAAAAAATATTATTTCAATAGCTATAAGTATGTACTACAAAAAAGGCAGACACCTATATACCGTGTAAAAAACTGAGCACATTGGAAAATAAAAAAATTGTTCAATGGTTCAAATATACATCAATTGCAAAATATAAAAAATGGGCTCTTTAAATAAAAATATTTGATGATGTTTTGTCAAATTTTTCCTTGGATCTTTGTATAGAAGTATAATTTTGAGAAACACTTCTATTCAAAATCAAAAACTGTACCAAACACAATGGTTCAAAGATACATTAATTGACAAAATAGAAAAATGGGTTGTCTGGGTAAAAATATGTACAAACTACATAATAAAGTATTTAATTGGGATCTTATCTCCAAAAGATATCTATTATTTCAATAGCTATAAGTATGTGATAAAAAAGCAGACACCTATATACTTTATAAAAAAACTGAACTCATTGGAAAATGGTTCAATGGTTCAAATATACATCAGTTGTAAAATATAAAAAAAACCTAAATTAGCCACCGTAAAGAGTAAAAAAGCTGACGTTTCGAGCGTTAGCCCTTCGTCAGAGCACTAAATAACCTGCTATACTCTCCCACCGACGCAGCACCACAGTTTCTTTAGAAACTTACCCGTCATATAAAAATATTTGATGTTTCGTCAAATGTATCCTTGGATCTTTGTATAGAAATATAATTTTCAGAAACACTTCTATTCAATACTAAAAACTGCATCGAGCAAAATGGTTGGTGCAGATTACAAATTACATCATAAAGTATTTAATTGAGATCTTATCGCAAAAATAAACTATTTCAATAGCTATAAGTATGTGCTTAAAAAAACCAGTAATTAAAAAATAGTTTTGATGTAGAAAATTTTCTAATGAACAATTTATGCCATTGATCTAAAAAGTCTAAAATTCTAGCCTCATAATAGCCCAGCCTCAAGCAAATCATTGTCAACTAGTGAATACAGAACCCTGCTCAGACGGACTTGGCCGAGTTCAGTTTGCGTGCGCTTGTAAGGCTTCCTTAAACAGTTGGTATCCTTTTGTTAGCTTCAATTCCTCCAAACTAATTCCTTCCCCTTCATCACTGGACCATGAATCCTAAATGCCAAAATAGAAAATGTTAAGCCCAAACACCTAAATCAGCTCAAATGATTTGCCAAGGAATGGTAGTTGCAGAAGGGAGCTAAATTGCTTCCTCTTTTATATAGAATTTACCTGCCAGATGGTAGTTTTACTTTCCTATACATAAAGAACATTCGCTTGACTGATGGTGACTGGTCATGAACGACAAAAGGCACTCGCATTTAATTCGCAGTCCTCACACATTGTTTAACATATTTTGACCTTTGAAAGTTCTCTACCTCAGGTTTATCCAGAGATAAAGCATGTAAAAAACACCAAAAAGCATCACTTTGACTTCTTCGAAATAATAATGCTTCATATTCAATTCCCAATACCCACCTTATAATCAGAATTGTCTTCAATTTTGCTATCAGCTTCTTTCCTCTGAATTTCCTGATAGTTCTTCTGATCCTAAGAATCACGGAAGTCACATTAACGAGTTAATACTACATAGTGGCATTGAAGTTGAATCCATGCTGTCATGCCCTCAAGTACCACGATGTCTTATTTTTTCCTCAACTTGGTCGCCTTCTAGTCTGATCTCTAATGTGCCACACTTTCGTATGTTATGTCAAAGAAATTTCTTAACAAATACTTTTAATCAGTCAATGGTTGGTTGCTGATGATTCCCACACACCAGCAGAATCAACAGAACTAGTACCGGAATAGTAATGCAATTCATTGTTGTCATTATCCGAGTAACTATGTCCACAGTTGATTGGTTCAGTTCCTTTTCATTGTAACTTGGTTACAAGTAATTGATTGGCTAATGTGGCCTCCGGGATGTAAACCTAGTAAGTTGTCATGTATACTCTCTAGAAGTTCTCTGTAGAAAAGATCTTTAAATGCCTCTAATTGAGAGAAATGGGGTGCCATTTTCTATACCGTTATTGACACAAGCCTAACTTATAATAAATCAAGACATCCTTATTCAAGGTTTAGCTAAATCTAAAGCACTGTGCCAACAACTGATCTTTAAAGACTCAGGAAAGGGTAATGAAAATGAACTGAAGTGTACTAAAGGGTTCAAGATTCATCCGAAGCTTGTTCATGGAACAAGTCAGCGTGTTCATAACACGCTGAGAACTTGTAGATTTGACTTGTTGTACAACTAAAAGCAGATTTTGAAAAGGGGATCTTAGTTGCCTAAACTGGGTGTAATCAGTTGGGTTAAGCCTCAGAAATAGGAAGGAATTCGAACTGACGTCTTATTCAGATAAATGACTTAGAACTGTGTAAAGAACCCAAACTTCATTTGTAGAGCACAGCCCCCATTGTTTGAGCTGATGAAGACTAGAATAAATGTTTATTCCAGTTTCATCACGTCCGACTGGCAACGGGAAGCCTTGAAGAATTTCTTTCAACTAGTAATCAGAAGAACACACCAGACCTTACATTACTGTCTTAATTTTACCTGGAAAGAAGATGAAAATGGCATCCCAGCCTTGCCACCCCCTTCCGCTTCGTCATGTTTTGCTTTTTTAGCCCGCATGTTCGACAAATTCGCAGAATACTAGAAGAATAAGACAAGATTCCCTATTAAGCTTTAAAAGTGTCCCGTCACTTTGCTCCATATTTAAGCAAAATGCGACGTAAAATATATAAAAGATAGACATCTAGGTCTATGCCTTTACATAACACAATAAAAAATCTTTTTCGCCATTCATAAATAAATATTTGATAAAAACCATTTTTTCATAAATGGCAAGGGGGGGGGGGCTCCAGAAACCACGGGGCCTATACGAGGGAGGCCTCCTTACTAGAAAAAAAAGAAAACTGTATATAAACGAGGGCGATACGATACGGGAACATTTCTTTCACCAAACCACCAATCTCAATAGTCATTATATCTATCGATTTGGTAATAAACTTCGAAGACGTCTTTTAAAAAAAGCAAAAGCTTCAGAATGCCTAATATCATCCGGTAAGGAATTCCACATTTTCGGTCTATGAAAAAATACAGAAAAATATTTAAGACTGGTTCGACATTGATGATCGGTAATTAGTGCCTCTTCTTATGTTATACGGGTGCATGAGGTTATTGGTGACAAAAAGATAAGAAATTATGGCGTTAGTAATGGGTAATGCCATTACCCCTTACTTGCGCCATCATAGGAAAACATACATGAAGTGGTGTAAAAAGAATTAATAGTGAAGATAACCAAGACGTTTGATTTACAAAATAAGGGAGCACGAGTGTGAGTGCGAAAGTACACGTTAGATTTAATTCGCACCGCACGATTTTGAAGCCGGAGCATTCGGTTCAGAATTGTTACATAAGTAGAAGACCAACCTATATTGAAATAAGGTAGAGGTAGACTAAGGTCTAATACAAAGATAATTTAGTTTTCGTAAGTAAGTAATGAGATGTGCATTCAAAGACACAAAGATTTTGACGCCAGTCAAGTCGACCAAAATTGGTGCGAAAAATAGTTTTCTCAAAAGAGACTTGGTCATCCAGAGAAAATTTCGAACAAAAATAACGGAGTAGTTTGTCATCCACGAAATACTGAATTGCACTATTCAGGTGAACAAATTTCGATTTTATTCAGCAAAAGGGTACAGTAAGCAATGTTTCTCCCGATGCGTGAAAAAGAATTGGAAAAATTGTTGACAATACAAGTGGTCTGCGTGTGGTTACGCTCTCATCGATGGCTACCAGAATTTGTCAAAGGCGGAAAGCGGGCCTGTAATTTCAGAGTTGAGGTCGGACGCCAATAAGTGGATGTTGATTGTGTCATGCAGAATAAATTGCTCATTGATCACACTTTTTAATTAAGAGTCGAATCATTCAAGAGTCCAATCATTCAACTGGTATTATGTTTGTGTTTTTTTAGTCGTTCGATGCCCAATATTTGTTTGACATATAAGAGTTAAGCTCGCACGCTAATCAGTGGCTTTTGATCACATCATGCTTTGTAAGCAAAATGAATTGCTCATTGATCATACTTTTTAATTAACTGTGCTAAGAGTCCAGTCAGTCAACTGACATTGTTTTTGTGTTTTCTTTAGTCGCTTGATTCCTAGTATTTGTCTCCACATATGAGTCAAGCTCCCACGCTAATAAGTGGCTGTTGATTACGTCCTGCTTTGTAAACAAAATACATCGCACATTGTTCGTTCTTAATTAACTATGCCAAGTGTCCAATCAATTTCCGTTTCCGTAAAAACTTCATGCTGAACAATTTTGAAATGTGATTGCTAAAATAGATGATTGCGAGGAAGTGTGGTCTTTAAGAAACTTGGTAGATTATAAAGGGGGGTAAGCTTCTAAAAATATGGTGCTGCTTGAGTTGGGGCTTGGGTTGGGGGTACAGCAAGGTAATTTGGTTTTATCATCCAACTGCACAAAAGTAGAGTACGAATGACGCGCGAATAGAGTAAAAATATCTTGCAATATTTTACAGTTGGTTATTTTGTACCGTAGAAAAACTTGTTTAACCTGACGGTCGGCTGCGCGCGACTTAGAGGAAATGAGGAGAAAATAAAGCAATTGGATAATAAATATCAGACGTTTTGGTGTAGTGTTGTTTAGTATTCTTACTCGTTGTTTGTATTTTTGAGATGACGGTTAATCGAGGATATGAAAGACTACCGCACAGAAGATTGGCAAATGAACTTTTTGAAAAATCGATCGAGTCAAATTATATCGACACAGACTAGAAGCATCAGAAAACCTTGCAAACTGTTTAAAGCAGATCAGCTTAGGCTGCTACTCATAATTTGACTTAATGTAAGTTCTTGAACTTACATGAAGTCAAAAAGGAATGTTAAGAATTATACGATCTAAAAGGTCAAGAGCCTTACACCTACCGTTGTGTGTCTGTAAGGAGGAATAACTGTAGGCGTCTTATCTATCGCTGCCATCGATACTCCTTTGAAGTAATTTTGGATCGTTCTTCCTAGTAACGAAACAGCAAGTTAAGCAATTCAGTGAGGAAACTGAAAAAAGAACTAACATTTGCATTCCGTTGCCGCCCACTCGGTAAACATCAGTTTATCATGAGATCAGAGTCATGCGAATTATCCTCCCGCAACGTCACGTTTATTTTTTCCATTATTTACATAATTAATTTATACATTCCACAATGTATCTAACAGATCACTCCCCTTGTGCAAGACTTTCTTTTTTTGTTGTCATCTGTTTTTGTTTCGTTTTGGGTTTTTTGGTTTTTTTTTCTGTGTTTTCTTTATCAGAAAATTCGGGACTTTTGCAAGGCAAGCTTCAAAGATTCTAAATGAAATAAAGCTTAACAAAAGGCTGACCTTAACCTTGCAAATGACACATTGCAAGGTTATGTCTATTTCCTTTTTAGCTGTTGTTCCTACCTCACGTAGTGGGAAAGTTGAATATGTCGGTTAAACCAGCTGGAAAAGCAGCCAATGCAACTGAAACAATCACACTTCCTTCTCACCATGCCAATAAAAACAGTCGGGGGATCGAGACGCAAAGGAAGGTTTCGAAAGTTATATGCGGAAGAACGTGCACGGGCAAGCCGTAAGCGGGCTAATTCCGCCTGCTGATGGAACCAATCAGATATCAGATTGCAGGATTTGTTCAATCGTGCATGCTCATGAACCGTGAATAGTATAATCATGAGTGCATATACAGTATAAGTGTACAATTTGTCGCGCGACACAATTTGGCCTGAATTTGCTCTCGTCGATCCCTCTAACATGGACACTAGGAGCTTCATCGAAAACACTTTACGCTCAATCGGCAAAGAAAGTAAAAGATTGAAGAAAAGTGTCCAGGAATTTTATGATAAACTTCTGGTACCTGTTAACGACCAGATCGTTCAAAACAAAGTTTTGCCCGAGACAAAGGAAAGACTGCAATGTTGTTTCAAAGACATTTACTTGAGTTTAAAAGTTCATGTGATGTTCTACCGCGGAATCGATAAAAAGCCATTCGAGGTGAGAAACATAAAACAATCGATCATATAAAAGTGTCCCAAATTTCGAGTGTCCTTGCTTTGCCATTTGCAGGAAAACGACAAAAAGATCGATGAGACCCTCAAAAAGATTCGTCACCTCCTTGACCTAAAAAATGAAGAAATGGATCCAATAGATGCACAGATAGAGGGCTCAACATACGACGATTTGTTTGATAAACTTATCGACCCTGGAAGCAAAGTCCTGGAAATGGTGAGTAAAGAGATAGTTAAAAGTCCCAGTTTCCAAGTTCCACTGCATCACCATTTGCAATAGGTTGAGATGTAGCATACTCCGTCATTAGGAATGAAAAGGCCAGGAAACAGAATAAGCAGCTTGCGCTCAGAATCTCTCAAGCAATAGATAGATATTGTGTTCTAAGAAGTAAACATAGAATGCAAATTTCATGTAACAAGGCTATTTACGGCTTGGCTTCATGACCAGGATCGTCACGCGTTCCAGCTTCCCTCCCCCCCCCACGAACGTCTGCTCAACGTGGAAAAAAGTTACCATAGTTACCATTATGTGCGGGCTGTAATACCCGCTATGTCGTCGAAACCTCTCGGTATTTATCCACACGTGTGCGTGAGCACTAGGTCAGAGATAGGACCTCACATTTTAAGGCATTTACAAACCTCTCAACATCGTCGCACTGTATGTTCTGACGGGTGTTTTAGCATCTTAGATCACGCTTCCACAACTATCCAACTTAAAATCAAAGAAGCTATTCACATTCAATGGGAGCAACCTACACTTAACCATCAACTGTATCATGTTAATTCAAAACTTTCCACGCAATTGCATACATTGTTTTGTTTCTATTGTTTGTTTTGTCCAATGAGCATTTTGTTATACACTTCAAATAAGACTTTGTATAAATCAGAACCGAAGACAACAGAAGAACTGTCGAAACATTATTGAAAAAAATGTCACATATTTTCTTATCTGCTACCATTAAGCCACCACTATCGATTGCCACTGGTTTTCCTAAATGAGCAGCAATTTAGCAGTTGCAGAGAAAAGGCCTGAAATTTGTAAGCGCGCCAAATTGGAACCACAACAATAGGGCGGCTCGCGAGGTTATTTGCCTGCTTCATCTGCTCAATGGAAAACAGAGCAAAGAAAATCAAGGATGTACTGGGAAGGGAAGTGAAGAAGAACTGATGCTATCCAAACGTAAATACCCGGAAGCAGGGCACGGTCTTAAATGGATGAAAGACCAGGCACTTGACAAGAGCGTTTGATGATATTAGTAACACCGACCAATCGATTATTACACCTAAGCTTGCTTTTTCTTGAGTTAATCAATCCTTGTACGTTGTTACATTTCAGTTCCGCGTCGTTGCAGCGTCCCCAAAAGGTACTCCCCAGGAAAAGAGCATCCAAACAGGAAGTAAGGATCATGCCAATCGAGTATTACAAATGGCTCGAAGCTTTCTACGAACACTTCATGACAAAAACACCTTCCTGCCGAAAGTTTTAGCAAAGGTGTCGCGTGAAGAAAATTCTTTTATCGGTGCTTCAATAGCAGTAAGCCATTTCTTAAGGCCGATCTATTTGTACAGTAGAGTCATTAATCGCAAAAAGAGTCTCGCGGAAGCAATTATAAAATTCCGAGCCTTAGATATTTCCCCTGAGCAAAACTGGGAATTTGAGGCGTTTGAAAGGGAAACTGTAGAAATTCAAAAAAACGAGGGTGAAAAAGAAATTACCAAACAACATGTAGGCCCCAAAGACCTTTGTCAAAACTGTAGAATGATGTTTCTTGGGGATAAGTCAGGAAAAGGAGGTCGTTCTTTTCTCGGTGCATGTGCAGAGTATTGTCCTGTTGACGAGCTTCTCCCTGATGAATCGAAGTTAAAGGTGACTGATGTTAAAGGTGATGACTCAGTAATCGGCTATCTTCTGAAAAGAAACCTTTCTCGATGCTCACTTCTGTTTAAAGAGTTTGAAAATATCTACGAAAGATGCAAATCTGCTGTAAACTCGGGAAATGATAGAGAAGTGGAGGCGGTTTACTGGGAAGTGATACATAAATTGAACATTTTTGGTTTAAAGCCAGAATGTAATCCTTACTTTTAATTTTCTTTTGGTCCCTTTGTTATCAGCGCTTTACTGGAACAAAATTGTTCAAATCTAACAGTTTAAACAGTTTTGAGTTTTTTGTTATTTCAAAACCGAAATTTCTTCTTTTGAACAATGCAAAAATGTGTGGTAAACAATCCGTTATGCTTTATATCTTATTCACTTAGTTCAACCGAGACTGTAGAGGACAAAAGTTTTTAAAGGTTAGACTCAGTAGCGATACTTTATGCATCTTCCACAGAGCTGAGAGATCAGTGTTCCACAGGAAAATCAATCATTTCCCTTTAAAAAAAAGGTCAATTTTCTTGTATAGAAGAGAGCTGTAAATTTTTTCATTGTTAAATCGGTGAATGTTCGCTTTTTTCTTTTTTGGCTATTTTTTTGTTTCACATATCACGTGTCCGTGAGTGATGGGGACTGAGCATTGCATGACAAAAGTCTTAGAATAATGATAATTGTTACTGCTGCGTCTAACTAGTGACTAGAGTTGTAGTTACAAGAAAAAATCTCACACAAGATTTGTTTTCAGTTGGAAGTTCTCTTTTCAAACAATTATTAGATTGAAAAGACTATTTTAACTCTAAAAAATATTAGAATTAAAGGCACTAGCTCTAGGTTGAATTCAATTTATGAGGCTTTCTTTCTAAAAAGAAGCCTTTTTCATCAACGAATATAGGAAAACTGAGAGGACGTAAAGGCGTTACAAAAAGTTAGTCCGTTGAGAAATCCATAAAATTGCCTATAGAGTGTGGTGATAGATGCAGCATTCAACTCATTTATCAAATTGTCATCATTTTCACTCACTTTGTCACCTCTGTAAATCTTCCTAAATTCATTTCCATTCCCCTGAAATCTAAACAGTGACAAATCAGTACATGACAAGAAACAAGTGGTTCTCTAGTCAGCGGTTGTCTGAATATCAGGGTGGTATTGGTACTGTTTAAGAAATTTTGGGTAATGTCAACTATATCCATAATCATCCCATACAACTTTATCACTCTTTTACCATAAACCGATAATACCCGAAAAACTAAATTATCCGAAAACAAGTTTTCATACATCAACATCTTTAATATAAAAAAAAATCTTAAAACTTAACATGTACAGCTTGGGAATATTGGTCTGCTCTTTACATCAGTGAAAAGAGCAATGATTGTGGAAAAATTGAAGAGATGATGACACCATTACGTCAACTGACTTAATAAAGAGTAGCTCCTAACCATTTCCTCGATGTCACCCATGATAAGAAATATCTACGAGCCAAGAACAATGAAACTGTTATTAAAGCATTTTTGTTATCTAAGATGGACCATCATGTGATAAATGTCATTCTTCCACGTTCCGAACTATTGGAAGTTCTCCTTTGCTAGAAACACTGCTGCTCGTGTCATAAATGACTTGCACAATTGGGCGCCCAAAAAAAAACCTTAATTTAGCACCACCATCTATCTATTGCTAAATGCATCAAGTTGAAGTTTGTATTGTTGTCCTTCAAGGCCCTACGAAACCAGTCTACAAGTCTTGGTTAAGACTTTTTTTCCTACCACATCCAAAGTAGATCCTCACCATCATCAGCTGGTCCATGTTTAGACCGTGACTAGAATGTGCAAAGGTTCGCAGTGCGAATAAGATAAGATACTTTATTAACCACCATTGCAGCCATAGGCTGAATTACGGGATATTTACAAATACTGATGATAACAAAAGAGAGAATAAGAAAAATTATCTACATCTTATAGACATGGCTAAAAATAAAACTGTTCTTCAAACGCTCGGTTTTACATAGGGGGAGAGTGAAATCACTTTTGCGCCTCAGTGCATATTTACAACTCTTCCTTTGGGGGAGGAGGCTATGGAGGTTGTGGGTGGGGTTACAGACGATCTCGTCAAACAGATCGATTGAAATCTTTTCTCTCCTCTCATGAAGTTTCGGTAGGCCAACTGTTTCTAGTGCTACACTATATGAAAGGTCAGGATAGATGATTCTGAATGCCCTTCTTTGGATCCGTTCCAAATCTTCACGGATGTAGTTTGGTAAAGAACGATGGAATACAGGACTTGCGTATTCCAGGACGGGCCTAATACATGTCACATAGAATTTCACCAGTTCACTTGGTGCCACTCCAGATCTCTTGAGTTGACGTAAAAAGTAGAGACGAGAGGAACATTTTTTAATTAGTTCAGAGGTGTGCATGTTCCACTTTAAATCATGGCTAATGGTCACGCCTAGCAATTTGGCACTGGTGACTAATTCAAGGGGTTTGCCATTTAGAACTAGGGGTTCGAAATCGTGGTTGCTGTTGGAAAAGCCAATTCGAAGTTCTTTGCACTTGGCCTCATTCAGTTGGAACCCATCGAGACTCGGCTGTCTCGAAAGGGTCATCCACAGCTTCTTGGAGTTTGCTCTTATTACCCTTTGTAACTATTTCGGAACAAGATGTATCATCCACGTATTTCCACATGTCAACTGGTTTGTCCAAGTTATTAATCATGACAAGAAATAACCAGGGGCCCAGTTTTGTTTCCTGGGGGACAACGGATGGCACAGAGCGCCATTCAGAGTGACAATCCTGAGCAAGTTTAACTCTTTGTTTCCGGTCCATCAAGAAGTCAACAATCCAACCTTTGACTTGACTCGGAATATCATATGTTGTTAGTTTTTGAACAAGAACACTGTGATCGATAAGGTCAAAGGCCTTACGGAAATCGAGTAGGACTACTCTTACCGTGGCACCATTTCCCTCGGTGTTAACAAGCCAATTATGCGTCATATTGACCAAGGCATGTGTAGTAGACGATTTGGGAATAGTTCCAAATTGTCGAGGGTCGATTCTTTGTAACACAGCAGGTTTAACGTATTTCTCAACAATGTGATCTTCAGCGAGCTTAGACAGGATAGGCGTGAGGGAAATCGGACGGAGGAGCTTGTTAATGTCATTAATAGGCCTTTGTGTTGGCACCGGGACAACGTCAGCCTCTTTCCAAGAAGGCGGAAGGCGGGATTCGTGGAACGAGGAGTTGAGGATCGCAGAGACTGGACCCGCCAAGAGATCAGCGTTTCCTTTAATAACCATGCCGGGATACCGTCTGGCCCATGTGCTTTCGAGGGGTTGAGCGCAGATAGTTTCATAAAAGTTGAAAACCCCGATATCATATGTACGGCATGACCTTCGTTGTTGGCTTGTGGTGAGTCAAAAGGATTGTGGGTAAGAGGCTCAAAAATCTGCATTGGGGTCAGGAACGCTGAATTGATGTAATTTGCCAGTCAGAACACCTGGTGAAAAACCTAGGTGTTGCAGTAATTTGCTGGTGTTGGCCCGCGTTTCTGAGGCAGGTGACATGCCGCTGAGCTTTTTCACCTCTTTCCACCACACGGATGGCTTACACTCCCTCAAATGGCTAACCTTTGCTTCGTAGTACTTTGCCCGGCAGATCTTACGCTCACGAGTGCAAGAAACGTTTCACACCTTTTGATGGCCAAATGTTAAGTTATGTTAAAAATCTAAGTGCCAGAAATGCCAACCACGTAGGAAATAAAAAGGTGTCCTGAGGAGTCTTAGGACACTCCTAACTTGAAGTTAATAGATTTACGCAGGGCCACAGGTTTATCAGCCCGTGGCTGAACTAAATCTGAAATAGTAGTAGTAGCATACAAAAAACGGACTGATTAAAGCCATATATCCATTCCAATTTTCTCACACAATCAAACAATCACTTTGCAAGGCGACAACTCACATATCGTGCATGGCTTTGATGGTTTAATGGGGGTATTGTTTTAACGATCATATGAAAAACATCTATATGATTAGGTTTCTGTGGTTTGTTGATGAGATGATGCGACGATCATAGCAGAAAGTGAAAAAAATAAAATAACAGGGATTTTTCTGTTGCCCTGGGTTTCTGATGCTAATTAATTGCTCAAATATACTGTATCCAACTTAATATACATTCCTAAAATTAGGGGTTCTTTATAGATGAAAGGTGTAAATTTCTTAAAGTGTCTGGAACAGATGGGGGTCAACACCTGCCATTTTAAAGCGTCTCTAACGCTATGCCGAGGTACAGAATATATTAAAGTTTTGGGATAACTTGACCACTATCGATCCCTCCAGCATGGAGTTTGAGTACTTTAAGACATATATTGCCAGCACAATGAAAATCTTCCAAGAAACGATAAAGCGGGAAGTCGATGAACTGTTACAACTCCTTCTTCTACCGCTGCTTGATAGTATCGACAGGGAATCTGGCCGTACCTTGCCTCCGGAATTACAGACGACACTAAGCGAATGTTGTTAATACTTGTACTGGAGTTTAAAATCCCACGTGTACTTGCATCTTGAACAACTTGTCATGCCGCCTGATACTGGCGCTCGCCTAGCCAAGGTGGGCAGATGGGGTGGCCTGAGCGACCATGAGATGCAGATGGATGTAGACCCAAACCATTTAGTAGACCCTGCAACCAAACTCTTGGAAATGGTGAGTAGGAAAGCAGCCAGGAAATTATATTAGAATATCTGCCATGAATCGGATTTTATAATTGCGTTCACATTTTTAGTGGATTGAGATATCCCATGCCTTGCTCTTTCATATTATCTCATCCTACTAATAATTGCTGAGGGGCATGGATGGAACTGGATTACAAACTGAAATGAGATCAATTTGAATTCGGTACAGCTATTGTTTGTCCCTGTCAGTACTATTTTAGTGCTGTGAAACGGTATCCAGCTTGGAAAGGGTACCGTTTTCTCGCTTCTGAAGGCTCTTCCCAGTTATCGGGGCATTTTAGTGAAATTAACTTCCCAAATCAGTGAAGGAATTTCAGACTAAACATTTGAGATTTATATTGGCCAGTAGGCAGACTGCGAGGTTGGTTCCGGGACAGTCAAATCAAAAGGGTGAGCTGCGACCATGCACTGTCTTGAGAATAAGATCATGTGATCCTGATATTGATTACACAAATTTCACAAATTTTTGCGTATTGCTACATTTCAGTTCAGCCACATCAAGGGAAGTCGTGCCCAAAGAGGGAGCGAAGAGCATGCCAACGGTGTATTTGAAATAGCAAAATTCTGGCTAGGTCATCCACGACCCGAAAACATCTTCTTACCAGAAGTTTTGGCGATATTTGAACATGTGCCCAAGAAGAGATTTTTCGCAGGTGCTCTAATAGAAGTGAGTGACTTCTTAAGGCCTATCTGTTTGCACAATCGAATCATTAATCTTAAAGATAAACTCGGAGGTGCAGTAATACATTTCTGTCCTCTAGATGATCCTCTCCGACATGATTTGCTATTTTCATATGCCCTTAAAACTCAAAGATATGATTCATTGACTCATGGACTTCCTTGCCAAAATTGTAAAACGTTGTTATAAGGAGATAAATCGGGAAGGAGAGGACCCAAATTTCTTAGTGCATGTGCAGAGTATTGTGCTGTTAATGGGCTTCTACCAGATGAGCAAACTTTGAAGCACAGCCAGGATCAGTCCGTAAATTTAAAACTGGTAAGAAACTATAACCAATATATGGCTCTCCTCGAAAACTACAGAGATATGTCGGAAAAATGCATTACTGCCTTTGAAAACGGAAACCTATATGAAATAGAGAAATTGTACTAGGAAGTGATATACTTTTTTCACACTTATGGCCTAAGGCCAGAGTGTAATCGCTACTTTTGACAGGATATTAAGCCCGCCAAAAATTGGAGATCAGAAGAAATTCGGCCTCTATTTTCTGGTAATGTGGGGAATTTCTGGTAGAATAAACCCAATCTCCGTTCTTTGAGTTTTGAATCATATTTGCTTAGTAAAAATGGCTCTTTTTTAAGTTAAAGTTTTGAATTTTTAATATAGTATTATAGTATTACAGTTATAGTATTATAGTTATCATTCCGCTTAGCTAGGTTTGTTGTTTTCTCTAAAACTGGGATTGCTACACAGTTTTCCACTTTCGATCTGCTGTAACTTCTCTTTGTTGTAGTTACTTCAAAGTATTAAGATATGTTACTTGTGTGATTCCGCCTCACGGATGTCATGCAGCGCTCCTCAAAAGGTAAGACGGAATTTTGCGTGACGTCTGAAAGAATGATGGTGAAAAGGTCTACCTCTTGTAGGGAATTACGGCTAGATCGCGCCATGGTTAGATCGCTCTAACAAAAAGTTAGATCGCTCCACTCGAAAGTTAGATTGCTCCATCAAATAAGTAACTTTGCTCCCAACATAAGCCACTTCGCACCCAAAAAAAGTCACTTCGCTCCATGTGAAAAACTGAGGTAAAGTTAGCAAAACCAAGGTATCTAAACTGATGGTCCATTAAATGACGTGGATATTTTACCTAATAATCGATTAACATCGCTTGCGCGCTTGCAATAAATCCGCGCTACGCAGAAAGAACAATTAAAGCCTCATGTAAGGGACTCGCGATGTGTAATCTACATTATTAATTGAAGATGGCGGATATCAGTTTCCTTACATCACGCAGCAAAAAAAAAATTTTGTTAGGAACTCATAAAATTCATGTATTTGCCTCTAAATTGTATCAATAAGATGTAATTGTCAACTAAAAAACCTACTTAGAATGATCAATACAAGCTATATCACTTGTTAATCTGCTTAAATTGAATCTCGTCCGAATAATGTATGCTAATCTGTGGCAAATTAATAAAAACACACCACAAAAGATTCTTAATAATAATTTGTTGAGTATTAAGATCATACTTTTGAAAAAGAAAATCAGGGTAAGGCCAGCTTTTCACAAGCATTATAACCTGGGCAATTTTGCAACTCTGTGTTGGGAAACCCACAGACGCCCCAAAAATATTCAGACCCCAAACACACGTTTCTGTTTTTAGACTTATTTTCAACATCCTAAATGCTAAACAGGATTGTTGAAGATTGTTCCTCTCTTCTCCAGTTAGATGAAAAGAATGATGAACTTTCTCCAGTTTTTCCTTGAATCGTACAAGTCTTAGCAAGAGTTGAGTATTTGAGACGTATAGATTCTACGACGAGAACGATTCTCCTAGATTTTCCTACGGTTAGTTGGCGTGCGCAAGCCTGTGCTACTTTGGCTGGAAAGACCAAATAAACGAAAACTTTTTAAGACGAGTCTTTGCGAATATGGCGTACAAGAAAACGAAAAACAATCCGTTATTTAGTATTTCATATCAGAAAAGGATTCCATTACGCCTCTTACTGAACCTATAGCGCGAGACCTTGTGCGCTCAAGTATAAAGCATTCTCAGCGTCAACAAAACGTAACAATCATCAAAACAATTGCTAAACTTTAGAATCAACAAAAAACACGAATTACTCTTCGCTGAAAAAGGTGTTATAAACTTTCTATACCTCTTTCTCCCTTCTTTTAGTTAGAAAGGAGTATAGAGATCTCGGCCTGCTAACATGCTTCAGAAAAAATATAGGGAGATGCGGTGCATCGTCTAGCAGTTCTATAGGATGTAAAAACATTTTGCTAGAAGTACACAAACTTTGAGATTGTATGCTACCAATTTTGCAATTTATTGAAGTTTGCAGGTGAAGATATACTCTCGACTGTAAGGCTGTTAATTAACCACTTTCAAATTTGTCAAATAAGGAGATTTCGCACAAATAGTGCACTAAAGCCCATGTTAGAGACGAAATATGTGTTCTAGGGTAAAGTCACGGCTCAGGCAGTAAATTAAATACGCATAAACCAGAACCGTTATCTCAACTTGCAACTCATGGCAGCATATCTATTGTTGGTAAAATAATTCAAAATATTGACATCCAAGATCGCAAATATATTTCACAACAGCCTGAATAGGAATGTTTAATTAACAAAAAACCACTCTGTCTGGCAAGCTTTTGGCAATTGAAAAATCAGTGATGGGGTTGACGTCCTCCAAATATTACATAGCTTCGTCTCCTGTCACACACTTTCTTTCCAATATACAACTTTTCAATATGCATTTATATACATACAGTCATAAACTTTGAGTTTCTGATCACTTCGCTAAATTCAGGTTTCCTTTGTTTCGGGTGACAGGTGTACCTTTAATGGACGTGACTAATAGTGAGAGTGAAATGAATTGTTTCTCTTATTTTCATCATAATTAAGAAGGAATTTTGAATCTTTTGCTTTATCTACACAGAAAAACAAGGCAACAGATGAGATATTGATGCACGCGAAACTATGATATGAATGTGTTGGCTGGGCCTGTATTAAATTTTAACTTCTACCTGAGAATAGAATCGAAATTGACGCAGTGAACGGGAAGGATGTTATTGTATGTCACAAGCCTCTTCCTTCGCCTTCGGTTTTCTCCTTTTCGAGGAGTCTTTTTTCTTCCGCAATTTCGTTAAAAGTATATGAGAAGTTATAACTGAGAGACTTCTAGAGAGGGAGATGAATCGCACTTGGAAAACAAGAAAACTAAACCAGTCCTTGTGCTATACCTGTGTAGTCGGTCTCGTCACTACTGAAAAAGTTCAGATGTAGCACGATTGCGCGGTCTTTCTTCAAATCACCTCAATGCTGGAAGCATTTAATAATAGAGACATCTAAAATAGTCTTAGTAGTTAAAACTAAATTATATGGCCTTTCTAAAAGTTTTAATTGCACTTTGCTGAAAAAAAACACGCAAGTGTAAAGCAAACTGATGTGTACTGCTGTATACATTACTAACCATGGTTTCAGACATCGTTAACGATGGTTACTTAACTAAACAATCATTAAACTAACAAAGAAAAAGTAAACACTACCAAACAATTGATCAGCAGGGATTTGCTAAAGCAAAGGCATAGAAAAAACCAGGACAGATTTATTACTCATAATTCGAAAACATTTTGATATTCCCACTGCAATATATTTTCATCAGGCCGTTCTTTGTAATTGAACAATGTTAGCATTATTAGCTAGATATGTTCTTAGTAGTTAAAACTTAATAGTTAACTGGACTGAGTACAGATTTATGACTATCAGGCAGTCTATTTAGCAGGCAGTCTATTTAGCAGGCAGTCTATTTAGCAGGCAGTCTATTTAGCAGGCAGTCTATTTAGCAGGCAGTCTGGGGCAGCTTTTCTTGATCGCATGTGCTGCCAATGCTTCCATAAACAGCCTGTATCCTTCGGTTTTCTCTAGTTCTTCCTGGCTGATTCTTTCCTTTACTTTACTTGACTGTGATTTCTAGTGTAACGAAAAGTAAAGACAGACAAATAATTTTGTTAAGAACATAAATATACAGAACTTACTTTGCCTCTTGATAAAATTTCACCATAGATGGCAGTTCAGAAATGTTATCGTGAGTGATCAGATGGAATACGATGACAAATATTAGAATGACTAAAAAACAAATCCAAATAATCTAAGACATCTCGAGGCTTTTCAAAGAAGGAGAGATCCCTGCTGCACCCTGTTGTTAATAATCTCCCGAACTATAGCAATAATAAGAAGAAACTCTTGAGACATGACGACCATTCGCGATTCATTGTTATCATAGACAATCATAGGCTCGAAAAAAACAGAAAGTGACTGGCGAAGATTATTGAGATATACAAGGGCCTAAAATATGACTTATCAGTGATAATGGTTAGTTCTAAAACGAGAACTTCATGGCACCCAGACTGGCACACCTGATAATCGGCGTCGCTTGGAGCGGCTGGTTCACTTATGCACAAAGTAGTGAAAATGAGGATGAATCATTTCGTCTGGAACATGTGATGTATTGTAGCTTCAACACTCACCTTAGAAACCGAATTTAAGGTGGACTTGATTTTCCTCTTCTTTCGTTTCCCGTAAATTTTCTCCGGTTCTTCCTAGAATCGTAGAAGTAATGAAAAAGAGCTTATTATTTGAATCTGTAAATTTTAATGCGAACACGATTCCGAGTTCGGGATCTTCCAACAATCCAATAGTGAAATAGCGGGCGCCCGCGAATCTGCGCTATCTTGGTAAGAAAGACGCAATAACCTAGAACTTTATATAGGACGAGCAATTATGACAATTATGGCGTACAAGATACTAACAAACAAGCAGATATTGGAAAAGGGTTCCATAACGACCCTTTCGAAATAGGGGAGATGTGACTTATCTTCGAGCAATTTTATGGGGCATGAAGTTTTACGAAAAGCATATGACCTTTGAGATTGTACGCCTCTGATTTTACAAATTACTGAAACTCAGTTGCTGGCGAAAATGTTTTTTAACGGCAAGGCTGTTGCATTTCGAAGTTATCAAAATAGGGGTTCCCACAGCTAGCTCTTGGAGGCCTTTAAGCCCATGTTAGAGACAAAAAATTTTCGTATGTTAAAGTCAAGTCATATTTAGTATTTTAAAGCATGAAAGGGATCCATTACGCCTCTTATCAAACCTATGGCAAGACCTTGCGTGGTTTAGTTCAATGAATTCTCCGGGTTAACCAAACAGAACAATGATCAAAACAATTGCAAAACTGTGGAATCAACAAAATTTTCAGAATTACTCCTCACACAATAAAATGCGACAAACTCTACATACTTCTTTCTCATTTTTTTCAAGACAGTAAGTTAAAAAGGAGCTTAAAGATACCAGCCCGCTAAGATGCTTCAGAAAAAAATAAGGAAGATGTGACGTATCGTCTAGTCATTTTATGGGGCGTAACATTTTACCAAAAGCAAACAACCTTCCAGATTTTTATACTTATGATTTTACAAATTATCGAAACTTGCTAACCAAATATTTTTTTACGGCTTCTTCAGTAAATTAAATACGTTCAAACCAAACTGTTATCTCAAATTTCAGCTCATAGGACGATATCTATTGATGGTAAAGTATTTCAAAACATTGACAATTAAGATCCTAAATATGTTTCGGAACAACCTGAATAGGAATGTCTATTTAAAAAACTTATCTTTCTGGCAAGCTTTTCGCAATTAAAAACCACACCTAATTATGCCGATTGGAATAGATGAAATTTTTGTCCAATAATGTCAGCTATCACATACTTTTTTTCAGAAACTTTGTAGTATGTATCTGCATAACTAAAATTCTACATTTCGAGATCATGAAATTTTTTTTCAATTCAGCTTTCCTTCATTTTAGTCGACAGGTATGTTTCCAAAATTGAAGCGATGATTAATAATGATACCAAAAATAAATTGTCTCCTATTATCATAATAATTAAGAGGAGATCTTGAAGCTTTTGTCTCATCTACCCAGGGAAACAAGGTAATAGGTAAAGTATTAAAACGAAACTGATATCGATGTGATTGCTAGGCCTTTGTCAATTATTAACTTCTACCTGAGTGTGGAATCGAAATTGTAGCAGTGAACGTGAAGGATGATATTGTATGTCACAAACCTTTTCACTTCTTCCTTCGCCTTCGTCTTTTTCCCTTTCCCTTTTAACTCATACATTATGAAATATTCATTTCTCGTAGCAACGAATCAACCAATCACTTGACAAGGTGACAAGTTGCATATCTTGCATGGCTTTGATGGTTTTAATGTGGGGTACTGTTTTAATAATCATATGGAAAACATTTATATGATTAGGTTTCTGTGGTTTGTTGATGAGATGATGCGACAATCATAGCAGAAAGTGAAATCAAAGTGCTCTGTGAGCAAACTCGTGAATTGACACATGATTTTTTAGATTATGTTTAATTTTATCTGGTTTAGGGAATTTTGTGGTTGATTGTCATATCTAGAGTACGAGCAGTAGTTCAGTGTTCGCTAATGTAGCAAAGAAACAAAGTAACGTTGGGATAAGAAGGCATTACAATTGAAATGATCATGCTATTACATTTGACAAGGTGGATGATGTCATGTGTTTTAAACGTCTATCATTTTTGTTTCTGGTTCAAAAGAAAAGGTTGGAAGTAAATGTGGGTGAAAAATAAGTAAATATGTTTCGGAACAACCTGAATAGGAATGTCTATTTAAAAAACTTATCTTTCTGGCAAGCTTTTCGCAATTAAAAACCACACCTAATTATGCCGATTGGAATAGATGAAATTTTTGTCCAATAATGTCAGCTATCACATACTTTTTTTCAGAAACTTTGTAGTATGTATCTGCATAACTAAAATTCTACATTTCGAGATCATGAAATTTTTTTTCAATTCAGCTTTCCTTCATTTTAGTCGACAGGTATGTTTCCAAAATTGAAGCGATGATTAATAATGATACCAAAAATAAATTGTCTCCTATTATCATAATAATTAAGAGGAGATCTTGAAGCTTTTGTCTCATCTACCCAGGGAAACAAGGTAATAGGTAAAGTATTAAAACGAAACTGATATCGATGTGATTGCTAGGCCTTTGTCAATTATTAACTTCTACCTGAGTGTGGAATCGAAATTGTAGCAGTGAACGTGAAGGATGATATTGTATGTCACAAACCTTTTGACTTCTTCCTTCGCCTTCGTCTTTTTCCCTTTCCCTTTCCCTTTTAACTCATACATTATGAAATATTCATTTCTCGTAGCAACGAATCAACCAATCACTTGACAAGGTGACAAGTTGCATATCTTGCATGGCTTTGATGGTTTTAATGGGGGGTACTGTTTTAATAATCATATAGAAAACATTTATATGATTAGGTTTCTGTGGTTTGTTGATGAGATGATGCGACAATCATAGCAGAAAGTGAAAAAATTAAGAGATTTTCTGTTTCTAAGTAACAGGCAAAATATTAATAAACGCGAAACTGATATGAATGTGTTGGCTAGGCTTATGTTAATTTTTTAACTTCTACCTGAGTATCGAATCGAAATGGAAGCAGTGAACAGGAAGGATGTCGTATGTCACACGCATTATCACTTTCTCCTTCGCCTTTGCCTCTTTCCTTTTCGAGATGTCTTTTTTTTTTCTTCTGCAATTTTTTAAAATGTATATGAGAAGATATCACTGAGAGACAACAGAGAATGAGATGAATCGCACTTGGAAAACAAGTTACACTTGTATTGTCGGTTTCATCACAACTAAAAAACTTAAGATGTAAAATGATTGCATGTTCTTTCCTCAAAACATTTCAATGCTGGCAGCATTTGATGAAAGTAAGATTTAAGCTATTTCCATTTATTTCATCTGTATCAAAAAAATTAGAATTGAAAAAACCTAGCCTACCAGTGATTCTCTTGTAAAGACATCGTTCGCGGCATCAGCATAAAGCAACTGGGACAGTTTGACTGACTTGATTCTAACTTGTTCGGGATCGTCATTTAGAGTCGTTGAAAACGGATCACTGCAATTCACGTCCATGACAGCACCTCTGTTTTGAAAGTTTCGAAAACAAGTTTTCAATCAGTTTGCCAAAATTTTTTGCAATCGTTTCCAATTAACTCATACATTATGGAATATTTACACTGAGTCAACCAATCACTTGACAAGGCGAAAAATTACAGGCGTCTTAAAGTGTGTAGAACAGATGGGAGTCAACACCTGCCATTTTAAAGCATCTTTAACGCACGACTCCTTATGCCGAGACTTACAGATTAAAGTTTAGGATAACTTGACCACTGTCGATCCCTCCAGCATGGAGGTTGGGTATTTCAGAACATATATTGCCGACAGAATGAAACTCTTTCGAGAAACGATAACGCAGGATGTCAATGAATTTTTAGGAGCCATTCTTGAGCCGCTGGGAATGAAATACTTCATGGAAGAAGAATATTCTTTAAATGACGAACTTGTGACGAAACTAAGAGGATGTTTTAAAGACTTGTACTGGAGTTTAAGAGTTCACTTGTACTTGCACCTTAAAGAACTTGTCATGCCGCCTGATACTGGGAGACTCCTTGAAATGGTGGGCAGATGGGGCGACCTGAGCGACGATGAGATGAAGATGTATATGGACTCAAACCATATGATAGACCCTGCAAGCAAACTCTTGGAAATGGTGAGTAGGAAAGCGGTCAGGAAAATACATTAGAATATCGGCCATGGATCGCATGCATTGCAATCACATCTTTAGTGGATTGAGATATCTGATCCCTTGCTTTTTTTTCCTATCTTATCTTACTAATAATTGCTAAGGAGCATGAATGGAACTGGATTACAAACTGAAAGGAGATCAATTTGAATTCAGGGCAGCTTTTTTTTGTCCATGTCAGAACTATATTAGTGCTGTGAAACGGTATCTAGCTTGATCAAAAAGGGTACCTCTTCTAGCTGCTGATAGCTCTTCCAAGTTATTGGGTCATTTTACTGAAATTAACTTCCCGAATAAGTGAATGAATTTCAGACTAAACATTTGCGATTTATGATGGCCAGTATGCAGAGAGCGAGTTTGGTTCCGGGACGGTCAAATCAAAAGGGCGAGCGAGCACCCACGGACAGTCTTGAGAAAACACTTGGTCCGTAAAGTTTACATCCTGATATTGATTTTCTAATTTCACAAATTTTTGCATATTGCTACATTTCAGTTCAGCTTCGTCAGGGAAACTCGTCTTACCAAAAGAGGGAGCGAAGAGCACGCCAACGGTGTATTTGAAATAGCAAAGTCCTGGCTAGGCCGTCTAAATCCCGAAAACATCTTCTTACCAGACGTTTTGGCGATAGTTGAACATATGCCCTCGAAGAGGTTTTTCGTGGGTGCATCAATAGCAGTAAGTGACTTCTTAAGGCCTATCTGTTTGCGCAATCGAATCATTAATCTTAAAGAAAAACTCGGAGGTGCAGTAATACATTTCTGTACTCTGAATGATCCAATTCGACATGATTTGCGATTTTCATATGCCTTTAAAACTCAAGGATATGACTCCTTGACTCCTGGGCTTCCTTGCCAAAATTGTAAAACGTTGTTCCAAGGAGATAGATCGGGAAGGGGAGAACCCACAATTCTTGGTGCATGTGCCGAATATTGCGCTGTTAATGAGCTTCTACCAGAAGAGACAACTTTAAAGCACAGTCGGAATAAGCGTGTAAATTCAAAAGTGGAGGGAAACTTTAAACAATGTATCACTCTCCTCAAAAACTACAGAGATATGTCGGAAAGGTGCATTACTACCTTTGAAAACGGAAACCAAAATGAAATGGAGACATTGTACTTGCAAGTGAAATACCTTTTCCCCACTTTTGGCCTAAGGCCAGAGTTTAATCGTTGCTTTTCACAGGATACCGAGCCCGTCAACAATCGGTGATCAGAAAAAAATTCGGCCTCTAATGAGGGGAATTTCTGGTAGAATAAAACCCAAGTTACGCTCTTTGAGTTTTGAATTATATTTGCTCGGTAAAGATGGCACTCTTTTAGTTTGAAGTTGGAAATTATGTTATATGTTATTACAGAACATTTATTTTTCCAATTAGCTAGGTTTATTGTCTTCTGTGGAACTGGGATTGCTACACAGTTTTCCACTTTCGATCTGTTGTAACGTCACTTCGTTATAGCTACTTCAAAGTATTAAAATATGTTGCATGTGTGATTCCGCCCCACGGATGTCAAGCAGGGCTCCCCAAAAAGTAAGACGGAATTTTGCGCAACATACGAAAGAATGATGGTGAAAGGGACTACCTCTTATAGGCATTGAAACACAAGCTGAGAGGAGAAGGATGAGCCAGTGACCAGTATGGCTCACTTATCACTGCTCTTCCTCACATAAGTCTTGTTAGGAACTCATAAAATTCATGTATTTGTCTCTAAATTGTATCAATAAGATGTAATTGTCAACTAAAAAACTTACTTAGAATGATCGACACAAGTTATATCACTTGTTAATCCGCTTATATTGAATCTCGTCCGAATAATGTATGCAAATCTGTGGCAAATCAATAAAAAAAAACCACAAAAGATTCTTAATAATAAGTTGTTTGAGTATTAAGATCATGCTTTTGAACAAAAAAATCAGGGTAAGGCCAGCTTTTCACAAGCATTATAACCTAGGCAATTTTGCAACCCTGTGCGCCTAGGAAACCCGCAGATGCCCCCAAAATATTCAGACCCCAAACACACGCTTCTGTTTTCAGTCTTATTTTCAACATCCTAAATCCTAAACAAGAGGCTTGAATGTTGGAGATTGTTCCACTCTTCTCCATTTAGATGAAAAGAATGATGAATTTTCTCCAGCTTTGCCTTGAATGGTACAAGTTTTAACAAGAGTTAAGTATTTGAGATGTATAGATTCTACGACGAGTACGATTCCGAGATTTTCTTAGGGTTAGTTGGCAGGCGCAAGCCTGGGATACTTCGGCCGGAAACACAAAATAGATAAAAACTTCTTTAGACGAGTCTTTGCAAATATGGCGTACAAGAAATCGAAAAAGAATCCGTTATTTAGTATTTCATATCGGAAATGGTTTCATTACGCCTCCTATCGAACCTTTGGCGCGAGTCTTTGCGCGGTCAAGTTTAAAGAATTCTCAGGGTCAACAAAACATACAATCATCAAAACAATTACTAAACTTTAGTATCGCCAAAAAAAACCCGAATTACTCCTCGCTGAAAAAGGAATACCTCTTTCGCCTTTCTTTTAGTTCGAAATGAGTATAGAGGTCCCGGCCTGCTAAAATGCTTCAGAAAAAATATAGGGAGATGCGATGCATCGTCTAGTAGTCTTATGGGGCGTAAAAACTTTTTTAATTTTACAATTTCTTTAAGCTTGCTGGCGAAAATGTTTCTCGACTGCAAGGCTGTTAAATCAACCACCTTCAAATTTGTCAAATAAGGGGGGTTTCGCACGAATACTGCACCAAAGCCCATGTTAGAGACGAAATATGTGTTATAGGATAAAGTCACGGCTCAGGTAGTAAATTAAATATGCATAAACCAGAACTGGTAAAACGTATATGAGAAGCCATAACTGAGAGACTTCAGAGAGGGAGATGAATTGCACTAGGTAAACAAGAAAACTAAACCAGCCCTTGTGCTATACCTGTATAGTCGGTCTCGTCACTACTGAAAAAGTTCATATGTAGCACTATTGCGCGGTCTTTCTTCAAATCACCTCAATGCTGGAAGCATTTGATAAAAGAGACATCTAAGATAGTTCTATTTATTTCATCAATATCATCTACTCTAAAAGTTAAGAACTGAAAAAAGAGGCTAGTGAGACTAATAATCCAAACCCAACCGAGTCTTCACCATTACTGGTCCCATCCACGGCATAATTTCCAGACCAGCAGTCATCCCATGCACAGACACCGCCCGCCTTTGTATTCAAAAGATTACGAATACTGACTTATGAAACAGACTTTGCTATATATTCATATTCATTGTACCAGTCTACTTTTTGTGATGCAGATAATTTAGTGTTAACAACTGGGTTGAAAACGTAAATTAGCTACCGTAAAGGGTAAAAAAAGCTGACGTTTCGAGCGTTAGCCCTTCGTCAGAGCGTTAGTGTTAACACTAAATTACCTGCTATATTCTCCCACCGTCGCAGCACCACAGTTTCTTTAGAAACTTACCCCTTTACTTTTTGTGATGGTTTTCCTAGATAACGTACAACTACACATGAACTTTTAGGTGAATTGACAATTTAATTGCTTTCTTGAACCATTTCGATTTATGTTTCATCGTTTCCTTTTAAACAACGGAGAGGAATTGTAACAAGTAGTCACATGAAGTAACAGTGCGCTGTTCCCGCCTTCGCAGGTCACATGAGAGACACAGATCAGCCATGTTGCAACAGTGCGATTGAAGAAGATTACCTTATAAGCTTTTTGTCTCTCAATAGTTTTCCCTGTATGTTACAGATATCATAAAACTCTTTAGAAGTAGTAGAATATAAAACATATACTGAAAAAAAGTCAAATATTCATTTTACATCTCTCACACAGAAAGTGGACAATTAAAAAGTGCAAATAATTTTATTAAATTTTCGTTCTGGTTCCCTTAGAGTTAAAGAAAACTGTTTTTCTGCACTAATCTTAAGTTTAAGGCTTGGTGCAGGACTGAGTACAGATTTATGACTATCAGGCAGTTCATTTAGCAGGCAGTCTGGGAGGGGGGGCTTTTCTTGATCGCATGTGCCGCCAAGGCTTCCATAAACAGCCTGTATCATTCGGATTTCTCGAGTTCTTCCTGGCTGATTCTTTACTTGACTGTGATTTCTAATAAGCGTAACGACTCATCAATGAGAATAGTAATTTCTAAAACGAGAACTTCATGGCACCCAGCCTGGCACACCTGATAATCGGTGTCGCCTGGAGCGGCTGGTTCACCTATGCACAAACTAGTGAAAATGAGGATGAATCATTTCGTCTGGAACATGTGATGTATCGTAGCTTCAACACTCACCTTAGAAACCGAATTTAAGGTGGATTTGAT